TGCTAATTTTCTTACTCACTTCAGTCACATCACCAATTCGCTCTCAATCATCCTTCTCCAACGAATCCATACTCTATTCATTTCTCAACTCCACATTCAATGCATTCAGCTTTTAAATTCTATTGAAGCGTAGTGAGTGATTTGGCATTTGAAGACTCCTCACCCATACACTCACACTCAGATGAAGGAGAATCTGTCCTATTATGCGGAGTTGAAATACTTTATGATACGACTGAATTTTGCGAATTCTGCGTTTGTTTTGATACTTTACAGGTAATTATGCGGTTTAGGTCTAGGTCGAAAGGGGTACGGTCTAACACATACATTTATATGATGTTGTGAAACATACATACGGATGTCCAGATCTGTCTGGACCCCGTTCCCCTTTTTTACTATCCATGTTCATCTGCATTCAGACCTGACATGAGATTTTCAAAAAGTCGTTTCGTACACTTGTGTTGAGGCATGCGATGACTGATAAAGAAAACACGAGAACCAAGTTTTTCACGGTTAGAATCTAGTAGACCGGTTGATCTGATGACCGTTTTCCATGCAGATCCTCATTTCCATCCCATTCTTACTCTTATCAAAAAATCATTAGCACTTCAAAGCAATACTAATATTATAAAATTAATATGGCGTACCTACAAGAATACATATTTTGTACGTGAATAAGGGACGTGGTGTAAATCTGTATGATTATATCTTCATTATAAAAAGGTGATTGAATAGTATTTTGAAGGTCACTAAATTATGCCACGTATCGAGTATGAACCAAAACTTGATTTCAAAGACGTATTGTTGAGACCAAAGCGATCAACGTTAAAAAGTCGTGCCGATGTTGATTTAACTCGAGAGTAAGTTTCCATCTTAAGTTCTAATGCATTATGGACATGTCAGCATGAATGAACATATCCAACTAAAAACCACCCTCCGAAATATCGAGAAAACTACCGCCCAAAATGAGTGCCTTAACGATAGGACAGTCATGTACCCGGTTAGAAATAATCTTCAACGTTTCCCGTCCGAAAGTCTGCAAAGCAGGAAAGTATCACTAGTATGACAAGAATTTCTTTTCGTTTTCTGACCACACTCTTATATTAAAGACAACCGCGCAACTCACGCACAAGTGTTAATAAATAAAATTGTCATGAATAAGTGGATGCATAGGTCTTGGGTGGATAAAGGATTAGACACATTGAATGAGTGTTTATTGAAGGTATGTATTCCGTAATTCGAAAAAGAAATACGTTGGAATACCAGTGGTTGCCTCAAATATGGATACAGTTGGCACATTTGAAATGGCTGAAGTGATGGCGAAATCATCACTTTTCACAACCGTTCACAAACATTATTCCGTTGATGAATGGCTTCAATTCGTCGAAAAACATGGTAGAAATCCTCAGGTGAACATTTCTTCTTGCTTTTGTTCTGCTCTATTGAATTTTTCTTTTTGTTATTTCACATTTTCAGCTGAATTTTGCTTACACTAGTCAAGTCTGTCTCTCTCTGCTGCTTGAAGTGAGTATAAACATCATCATCATCCACCCCTCTCATTGCAGATAATCTGTTCATTACTCGATCGTCCGGATATCGGAAGATATTTCTCAAAAAAAAAATCCAGGAAATGAGTGATGATCTATTAAATGGTTGAATGAAAACTTTGGACAAGTCGTAGGATATGTTGATGTTTGAGTGCTGAAAGGAATAAAGAATCAATCAATGAAATGTTCAGATAATGTCACAAATTGGAATCTCATCTGGAATATCGCAAATGGATTTTGAGAAGTTACAAACGGTTTGCGGTAAAATTCCTGAGTTGGAATATATTTGCTTGGATGTGGCGAATGGCTATTCGGAAGTGTTTGTTGATTTCATAAGACGTGTTCGTGAACAATTTCCAACACATACCATATTTGCGGGTAATGTGGTAACTGGCGAAATGGTTGAAGAACTCATTCTGACTGGTGCCGATGTTGTTAAGGTTTGCTGGTTGTTTTTCTTTTTTTTTAAAATTACCCTCACTGCTTTTCTTCATGAAGCAGCGTAGTGTTTTTAGTTGTTTAGAAACACTGATTGACGAAAGATTTTGTTAAGTCAACAGTTACAAACCGTCACGATTGCGTGTCCTTTTCTACGACAGTATTGAATATCGCTTTCGTTTCCTCTGTTCGTTTCTTCAATGAAATTAAAATGCCTGTAGTCTTTTTTAACTTGTTTCCTGTTAATGTTTCGTTATATTTGTGTGATCATTATTCATTGAATAAAATGGCTTCGTTTGCCACACACCTTTCTTTGCGAAAGGTATAGGATATTCTTTCGAAAAGTGAGATGCAGATATGCTGATTTATATATAAGGAATGTTTAAGAGAATAAAATCGTTTTCGTATTGGTTGGTGTAATAATTTAATTGTAATAGGTAGGTATAGGGCCAGGATCGGTATGTACAACTCGAAAAAAAGCAGGTGTGGGATATCCACAGTTGAGTGCGGTTTTGGAGTGTGCAGACGCGTCACACGGTTTGAATGGGCATGTGATGAGTGATGGTGGTTGTACGAATCCGGGTGATGTGGCGAAGGCGTTTGGTGCAGGGGCAGATTTTGTTATGATTGGAGGTATTACTTTTTGATTACTGTCAACCTCGCGAGCAAATGAAATTGAGTTTCATACCATGAGGAGATCCTGTTTGGTGAGAAACGGTCAGTGAACAAAATTGAGTGGACAAATGGATTCTCTTACTCCTACTCTCATGAGGATTTTAGTGGAGCATGCTGAGTGTTATTGTAGAGTTTAACTAATTTTTAATGATATGAAAATTTAATGATTGTTTTCAGTAATTCATTGCAAATACCAAACGATTCTTTGTATAATATTTAATTAGATTTTATGATGCAGGTTTATTGGCTGGTCATGATCAATGCGGTGGCGAGGTTGTTGAGCAAAATGGTAAAAAGTTCAAGTTATTCTACGGAATGTCATCAGATACAGCCATGAAGAAGTATCAGGGAAGTGTGGCCGAATATCGCGCTTCTGAAGGAAAGACTGTCTACATGCCGTACAGGTACTGCTTGGTTTGAGATCGTTCATGCGAAATGCCATCCCGTTCGGTACCTTGATAACTACGATATTCCATGTTCATCTGTTACAAATTTTTTGCGTACAATTCAAGTTTTGATTGTTTTCCGCTATTTCAAGGGCAGTGTTGATTATAATGATCAAATAGGTGCTGAAGTAGAAGTGTATGAGTGATATCTTTTCAGTGATCGATTATTGTTAAAATCCTAAAATAATATACCATGTAAGGAATGCTTGAATTNGAATAAGTTAAAATGTTTAACAATATTACGCATAAATTGACACGAATTTTATTCAGTAAATAGAAATAAGAAAGGAAGAGATCAAATAGATGAAATATGACAGTGATTCCAATAAATGAAGTGTTGTAGAAGCAATGATCAGTGATGATATTACAGAGGTGATGTATCACAAACAGTGCATGATTTGCTAGGTGGTTTACGTTCGGCATGTACCTACACGGGCGCAACCAAACTCAAAGAACTTTCCAAACGAGCTACGTTCATTCGTGTCACTCAGCAAACCAATGATCAGTATTCGGCATACGAAATACCAGCCTTCCATTAAATCATTCATTTCATTTTGTTTGATCGAGTTATCTTCCCAGTTGTATTCGTACTCTTATTTGCTTATGGAATTTAAAATGCGAAACTTTTCTGTTGCTTTATGCCTTACGAGAATCATTTGTTTGCTCATTTCGTACTGTTGGCCATTCAGCTATTTGAATTCTCGATTGTCGACTTTTATTCATGTATTCACGCACGTTCTATAAGATATAGTAAAGATGATATTCTTGGGATGACCGTCCAAGACGATTAGAAAGAACATTCCATTCATAGGAATACAAAGGTAAATTGAGAAAAATTCATTGATTCAAACAGTTCCTGCGGGATGTCAGATTGATCCGGTTCTAACAGGAAGTTCAGGAATCAAATTTAGAAAATTTTGGCAGCTCAGTTTTCATTCCAAGTTCATCCCTACTCATATCTTCATCCCTACTCATATCATATCTTCAATAGTGGTATAGTATAAATGTGCGTATACAAGTATAATTCTGTTAGTGCGAATGCGAATCAGATCATTCGTAATGCTGTATGTCTCATTAGAAGATGTTCTAATCGGTGATGGGCTGATCACAAAATTTGTATTGGATTGTTTATATGCGGCTCTGAGGTGTGCTATTTGGTGGCTGAGGATCACCTTGCTGACCGTTGGCTAGTAGCCTGCTGGACTCATGCCTCAAGCTTATGAGCCGTGCCGTTTTTTAGCTAATCTCTCATAAGTTGCCTGTCATCGGTTTCGATTCATCGTCGTTTTTGATTTGTAATTTTCTGCTTCAATGTTTCATTCAGGTCGTCTAGATATTGATTGTATTGGAATATGTTCAAGTTTTTCAAATGACATTACTATTAGTTTCGTTTCGAAATTTGTGAGGAATGTCTCTAGGCAAAATATGTTATGTTGTTAGATTTATGAATAATCATTCTATGAATCAGGTGAATCTCGCAGTTTGATAATAAATGCGGATTACCGCAATATAATTATGAAGAGTGCTTGGTGTTAATTGGTAGACAAAGTGGAACATTACGAGACCATTGCCCGGATGGTAAACATTCGAGAACATTTTCTGCGTTCAGTCGATACTCTACCGATGTGCAGTAGTAGACCACCTTCTCACCCGCTAAATAGTACGGTCGAGCAGGTGACGTACTGTCGCCGTGCTCCGGTTTGCCGGGAAATCGACAGTATGGCACACCTTAAAATGGCAAACTGAAAGTGATTCATCGAGTTCAGTACAAACTCTCTCCACAAAAAGTTGACAGTTAAAAAAAGAGTGAATAAAAGGACGAACACTGAGTGTTAAGCGTAGACCAATTGCCGTTTGATTGACATACGGTGTAATCATGACCCGTAAGCATGTAGCCATGTTTACACTCGAATACCACCACTTCTTGTACGTTGTAACTCGTCTTCGAACCGCCAATTATGTCCCCGTTTCTTGGTACTGGTGCTTTCCCACAAGTGATCACTGAACATTCTTGTTATTTTTACTCGAATGAGTCATTCTTCTTCGATAATTGTCAAAGATTATAACTCACGCAGTCTTCGAATCATTGAAATGTGTGCTCTTTNTTTATAAACTTTGATTTCATTCATTGCAATTGTTATTCCCTTAATGTTCTACTTTTCCGATATTTCCACAAATTGAACCGCCTTGTTCCGTACTTTCAAAACAACCTCGACTTATTTTTTTTTCATGAAATTATCCAGAGCTCATAAAGGTGTGAGTATAATGCTCGTGAAGAAGATGAATTAAGAGTGGAATAACAGATGCACAGTACATTTGCACTTTGGAATACGGTCAGACCATTTCGCAGATGCGCCACACTGTGCGTATTCATTACCGATGAGCGAATAGGTTGGTAGACATGAAAAATGCGCCATACCGCCATGCTTATAGGACGTCACCGTTGCCAACAATGCTTGATCCCGCAGTACTATCGGTGGACACTGTAATGCTGTACAACGATTCATGTAATCGTCACTAATCTCCGTTACCCAAACTTCACATCAAAAATCTGTCGTTCAATTGATTTTCACATCATTCATTGCAAACTGAATCAGTCATACGATCAGAGTCCAGCGACGTTCTTTTTTTTTCTTTAAAGATCATTCAGTATTTGCAACTCTATCACATAATATTCACACTATTTATCCAAACGGTATGTGGAAATGCGACGTAGTGACTACCTTGACATTTTGGAGGATCATGTGACCATTTTCCATTCGAGAGACACATCGCCGATTGTGCACCATCAACACGATAGCCGTTTGCACAAGAAAACTGTGCCGTTGTACCGATATAATGATGGCGACTCGCAAAAAACACACGCAGATTGGACACATTTTTAAACGGTTCACAAGTGACATCTGAAGGCTGTTCTTTAGACGTTTAAGAAATTATTGGTACTGATACTCAAGTTTTGAAGTTGAAAGTTTTTTTGAATCACTTAAAATATTGCAGTAACATTCAGTAGCTGGAACTGAAGTCTGTAGAATAATTTCCTTCCTAGATTCGGAGCTCGAGCGGAGTTGGAGCCGTAGCAGGAACTTTGGATAATACAGGGCCGAAATTTTGAGAAAATAGGAGCCGAAGGGGAACTTTCGAGAATGCTTTGATTAGTGAGCTCGAGCTCTAATTATTAGCTAAGTCCATTGTAGTACGTCATGATTGATCGATTCAACTAAAAAATATGGTTGTAAGTGATGGTGTGCGATATAAACGGAGAGGTTTTAATCTGTCCCGAATTGTTCTATATGAAGGAGGGAAATTTCAGAGTGTGTCTGGTTTGCACAGTTGTCATACTATCCAAAAATCATTTTATTATTATTCATTATTGCTAATTGTTGTGACTGAGCGCGAATCATCGAAATTGTCATGACTGAACTGTCATAAAAAATTAAGGATCAGAGCTGGCATCAAAGCCAAAATTCCAACAATACAGAGCTGGAGTGTTTCAGAAGCTGGAATGTCAGAACTGCGGAGCTGCAGCAGCCGAAGCTAAGTCAATTTTTTCAAATTCGGACATCAGTGATTATCAGTTAATATTGGAGCGATCGATAACAATGATCGGTCTTGTAATTAGGTAGTTGGTGACCTTTTATGATGATTTTAAGTGTGGTTCGTCGTCCGTTTGGCGCCACACAGTGAAAGAATCCGCCATCTTCTGGTTGTGCAGCAGATACCGTTAACTGTAATTGGTTAAGCATATCACTGATCACGATTTAATGACCCTACGAGAATTTTGAATCACTGTTTAATGTTGAAGCTTCGCATCATCAGAATTCGATTAAATACGTTGACTTGATTCCTCACCATGCTCACATCGACACAATCTAGTACGGAAACGAGCCGGTTGAGGAAATGAATAAGAGATGCCAAAGATGAAGTACAAATATGAGATTGAGTAACAGAAGATGATAAGCAAAACCTCATAAGCATCAACATCTTGAAGTTGCGGGACAGTATATTTGGTCCATGATCGAGGATAATAGCGATATTTCGACGAAATCTCCCAAACGGGTTGCCCTTTCTTACGTGGGAACAGACAGTAAAGATGCAGTGTTGATGAACTGTTGATGATGAGTTCACCGATTGGTGTTACTGCATGTGATCCTTGTTCTAATTTAAACTTTATTGGTGGTGAACCATCTGTAAAGAAGTGTTCCTTTGACAAGAGTTTCATTCATTTTAAACAAACAATGAGGTGATTATACTAATAGGACTTCCATGGAATATTCGATATTCGGAAACACGCGAATTCATCAAGAATAAGAATCAAGCTTAGTGTCGTAATAGTGGTCCGAATTGAAACTGCACTATGTTACGAAAAATGCTAACGAATCACTAAATACGCCACGTTTTCGTTTGCCATGAATTTCTAAGATTGTCAGATGTGAGAATTCGTATGAAAATTCACCAAATCGATTCAATGGATCGAGTGCTATGCATTTGGGTAACTTCGATGACCAGTGTCCATTTTTACAAGTAACTACATTATTACCACGTAGCTGTTGCATTCCGAAATCAACGCATGTGAAAGCCAAGTCAGAACCTTCTGAAATTTGTTCTTGTTACCAAACATTCCTCCAAGATATGATCGATCAGCGGACTTGAAATCATGAATAGTTGTCAAAATATGGTGACTGAAACTCAATTGGAGACATACCTAGAACAACTAATTTTGTTTGGAATTTCCTTATAAATCTAAAATTGTTTTTGAGATTGGACAAACATTCAGTTAAAATTCCACTGGTTAACTACAGAACAGTCAAACTGAAAATAGTTGAATTGATGATAGAATAAGTAAACAAAGCATGGAATGAAAATACGGTTGATGAATTCATAACCTGAAAACTTTTGATTGAATGTAATTTGCTGTTTGAGTGTAGCTGAAAATGCATGTACATGAGCTCGTTCATCTATGCGATATTCGCAGTACTTTCCATCTTAAAATTTTTATTGTTTTAAATTGAATTTACGAGATGCTGTCTTGTTACGTACAAATCCATTCAAATAGGATCGTGATCGAACTGTTGACATGATCGTTGGGATTATTCAAGGAACTCAATATAAGGTTACTTTTAGATCAACGGAAAGAAATTTCCATAGG